TTGGGATAATCGCAGGCTGCATAATTAAACTTAGGTTTGTCACCAGCATTGAAAGACGGGAATACATAAAATTCAAATTTTAGTAACAGCGGAACATGATGCATATTAGATGGCGTGATCGGATTGTAGCAAACTTCAATGTTACACTTACAGGCATGATTCAACAATTACAGGTTGTAGCAATCGTACAAAAGCAACATTTACCGTTGGTATGAACTCCTTGTGTCAAAAACAGCTGATTTGCTTTCCTTATGTATTCCTAATTAAAAGCCGGAAACTTTGTCGAATTTTGCTGATTTTTGTACAAAGTTTGATATTCTGACTTACATGATCTTTGTTAGATAACGAGCCACACTTTCATAAAAATTAGTAAACATTAAATAATCGAAAGGGGAATATCCAAAAAAAGGAAAAATGTCTCTTCCCTATTTGTATGTTCGCCACTCCAGCTACAGCTTATGTTTTTCATATTCGCGATTTTTTTAGGGTATTAGTATTATTTTTTACAATTTCATTAATTATATTATTAACAAGGAAGCTAACTATCACCCCCATTGCGAATTTCGACTGGCAGTAGATAAACGACTATTGAGCGATTGTCGATTATCGATGCTATTGTGAGTGTCGCTTAGTCGCTCAATTAGCGACTGTGAATACTTTTTAATCGCTCATCCTCCTATTGCTGTTTTTTAGTCGTTGGAGTTTGCGTTTATAAAATTTACATAAGAAAGTGTTACTATAATGGATAAGAAGTAAGTCAATTAAACTGGAAGTTGTAAAAAATTGTGCAATATACCTACTATATACGTATGTGTCTGAATTACAGATCAAAAATTGTAAGCAACAAAAGGTAACTTGCGGGGTTGGTCGAGCTAATGCAGAAGAATGAGGACATAATCAAAGGAATTTTCGGAAAGAGTAGGGGCGGTAGCTCCGCTTCTGTTGTGAAAGATATGCAATATATCTTGCGCATATAACTCCGGCTACGTCATCCACAGTATTTTTGTGCAGAACCAACATCAAAGTTTCAAAAAAATTCCATAAATTATTAATCAACTTGTGCTCGGAAATTTGAAATCTTTATTTTAAATTAAAGTTGAATTCTTTCACTACACTTGTATGTTAAAGTTTTTATACTCGGGTCACGCGTTTGTACACAAATACCCAACATCATTGTACAAATAGCTAAATCGTACCGTATTTCCTAAACTTCCATAAAGTTTATTAATGAGGAAAACAGCTTTTCCTGCAAATCCTGTAGAACCTACAAACCGTGAAGCATCTGGAACGTAACTCTTATTCATAAAATTCTCATATGTACATAACTTCATCTTCCAACTCCAAGGGGTCCGACGAATTCCGTAATTCCCTCCTTGCTTTAGCCAACTCTACTAATCTATTAGCTTCCACATCATCTTCCTCATCACTAAACCATATTTCAACTGTATCAATTTTGTAAATTTTATAATAAACGCAATTATTTTAAAAATGATGTAAATTAAACACTAAAGAAACAAATGTAAACAAACAAACAGCTGTTTACAATTCAGTCAACCATTCACAATAGTACAAATTTTTATCGATCAAGTTACACAATAGCAAAATAAAAGTGGATCGACTCGATCGACAAATTTCTATTCTACTGCCAGTCGACACTCGCAATAGGGGCCTATGTTTATGGCTCACATATATTCTATGTCCTTTGTGATGACGAAAGTGCTCCCTCGTTTGTACGAAAAATTGGTTTTGGCCAGAGTACAGAGAGAGTCTTAATAAATGAACAAAGAAAATACTGAAAAGCGGGACTTAATCGGTACAAATATGAAAAATCGGGACACTTATACGTCCCGGCTTTTGAAAAATATTCAGCGGTACCATTTTCTCAAAATCGGTACGAATGGTCACCGTAGTTATATGGAAGAAAATTCGAAACATCCCCCACAAAACAATTCTAAAGAATCAACGGTAATTTTTAGCTATATTTCTCTTACAGAGTTGCATGTAATGTTGAGTAAAAGTTTACAGGTTGAAATGAATAATGAAATTTTCGAACATACGGGCGGAACATTTCAAATTAAATGCAAAATACGGGATATCCCGGAAAATACGGGACATTTGGCCACGATATTTGCCAGATATTCGTTTTTGTATTTCTTCAAAATAAGTGAACGCTAAAATTTTTTGTTGCATGAATTCTTTTGATGTGACATTGTAAGCGCTTCTAGTTTAAGTTGAAGCGTTAAATAATTTTTCACTTTTTCTTACGGGAAGTTAAGTTAAGTCTAGACTAAATGAGCTTTTATTTGTCATTCCCACAACAGCCGGTTCTACGTTCCGGAATGACTCGGGTTTTACCCGACCAAGGGCTGTTGTTTCGGCGATCTAACCCCGTATACGTCGGCGAAATCCATCAACCGTTTTTCGATAATGGGGCTACATATGTTCCATATCCTTCTGCTCAGGGCTGGCATAAAGTCCAACCCAGGGCCAGAATTTTGGCTGCGTATGCCAGAGACGACCGCATACAAACTCTACCTCGGTCAGGTGCAACGCCTGTGATGGGTGGATTCATCTCCGCACCTGCTCGGGCCTACGTACGCACCGGCAAAGGACGACGTCGTTGGTGGCTCCATGCTGTGTGAATCGGACCGCCTCCACGGCAAACCGCCACCCGCCCGAGCGGCACAACACTAACTAGGAATGTTTATCCCGGGATGCCGGGATCCCGGCCTTTTTTTAGGTACCGAATATCCTGGGATTCTTGGCAAAAAATCCCGGGATATTCGGGATTTGTAATTTGCACTGATGGCAATAATAGAAACTCCTTTTCTTAACCAGTATTGGCTATATTTCTTTTTTTTTNTTGCTTTCCTTATGTATTTATATTCGTGCATTTAAATACAAAAGGCTGCGGTCGCCTTGGACAAAATCAATTAAATTTTGCACTTTTAGTGATTATTTAAATACTCATTGTGCATACACATTTAAATACATGTGGTTATAAATTTGTACTTAACTTTTAACAAGGGTGATAGGTTCATATGCTTTGGGAAACTAAAATTTGATAGTTGCTGGCGCAGGATTTTTTGAGGTTTTCTGGTCATAGTCGAAATAAAATTCAGGTTTTTGACAAAAATTCTTTCAGCAAAGCCCAATAATGGACTTGCAAGAACTGCATGTGGAGCCGCGCCAAGCAGTCCTGAAATACACAAAAGTAGATCGGCTGTTTCAGTGAGTACCAGAAATTTATGACACATTGGAGGTGGAGCACACCAATGTCTGGCCGGAGAAGATCCTAAGTACGGAAAATACTGCTCGGAACCAACTTTGTACCAAAGCAATGGCGTTCGATGGCATAGAACAATAAATGTGTTTGGATCAAATCTGTAAACTTTGGGGAAGATTTAAGTCTCGTATAATCATTTTGTTTACCATGCTTTACCCCGCGCTAAAAAGTTGTAATCTTTATTTTTAGCTTTTTAATATTGCAATATCAGGACATGAAGGCAATGAATATGCATGTAGTCTTGGGTACTTGGGAATACCAACAAATATGCAACGAAAGTATTTGGAATCGGAACAGTAGCAATATTATAGCACATCTGCCTCAGAAATTTAATGATCGACCAACATTTGCAAAAGAGTAACACCATACACTCTGAGCTTTCTTTGAAGGCATTGAATATTCAATGGAGTACGGTTTAGTTATTTGTACAAGGATTTTGGGTTGCTAAGCGCAAACGCGTGACCAGAATCAAAAAACTTTTACACACACTTGTAGACAAGAGTCTACGCTTTACTTAAAAACAAATTTACTATATCTGTGCACTATTTTATTAATAATTTCGTATTGAAATATGCTATTCTTTTCAAATTTCCGAGCTGAGCTGTCAAACACAAAAAATATTCTCGAAATATGGCTGCGTTCGAGATGTCAATCACAACCGCAGTGTTGAAAATGTTGCCAAAGTATCACGTTCTGTGCGAATTTCTGGCAACACTTGCAACACGCCGAACGTTCGCGCAGCCATTTTGCGCATAAATATTGCGCATCATAAGTATCACAGAATTGAACGCTACAAGTTGTGCGCGATGGCATCGGAAGAAGAAAGGTAAGTGAAATTCATATTTATTTGATTTTATACGCAAGTAACATATTTCATAAGCATGTTTATATTCTTATATGGTTTGTATTTTTGTTTTTATTGCATTTTTCAGCGATAAAATGGGTACTTCGATGACAAAGCTACTCATACGATGACGGCTTGACATGGAACCAGAGTTTGTTTCAGGCAGGAAAAAAAAATCTTATCTCTGGGGTAAAGTTTTGGAAGCAATGAAGGCAGTCAATCCTGAAGTTCCGTTGTCGAAGGAAGTACTTCAGAGAAAATTTCTGAATTTGTTGGCATCGTACAAGCGCATAAAAAAGGAATAGCGAAACAGGCAGAGGCGCAACAACTTGGGAATACTTTGACGATTTTGATAACGTTTATGGCAGGCGGCATTCCATCCAACCCCCAGCTGAAAATCTGGTGTCCAGCTTGACAAACTCCAGCCCAAATCCAAGCGAAGAAATTGTTGAATGCAACGACCACGAGAGTGACACTAACACTGTGGACACTAATATATCTAAAAGCACAACGAAAAAGCGCTCAAAAGATGAAACGCTGCTATTTTTAAAGGAAGAGGCCAGCAGAGAACAAAAGCGCCACGATGAATTAATGAAGCTAGAGAGGGAGAAATTAGAAATGGAAAAAGAAAAAATATCTGTGTTGACGGAATTAAGAAAAGCCTTAGACAAAAGTTCGCAGGCACGTAGAAACTGATCTCATGAATTCACTGTTTTATTAGTTTTAAGCTTATTTTGGATACATATGAATTTTAAATTACTTTATATTATATAAGTACATACATGTGATATGAATTTAAAAAGAAAAAAACACGTAAATGAAACTGATCTTATGAATTCAAGTTTTTTTTTTTAATATATACATGGAAAATGAATTTAAAAAGAATAAATATTGACATGAATAAACTTCATGAAAGAAATAGCATCTTTAGTTCATTTCTTCTAGCAACTCCTTCATTATAGTCATTAATAATTTCAATAACTTCTATTTCATGATTACTCTCAGTAATAATATTTGATTCTACACCGGTGTTCTCAAAAGCATCTGCCAAGCTTGAATCCCCACAATGCTTAATTATAAAATTGTGCAATATAGTGCAGGCCAATACAACTTCCGAAGTGCTCTTTAAACTTGTAACATCGATGTGGTTTAAAATTCTAAATTTTGACCTTAAAACCCCAAAGGCCTGCTCTATTAGTACTCTGGTAGAACTGAGAATGTAATTGAATTTTCTTTCATCGCTGGAAAGATGTCCATTATCTCTAAAGGGTACTATCATATATTTCGATAGTGGATATGCAGAATCTGCTAATATTACGGCTCCACTTGCAAGTTCAACTTCTCCAGATGTTATTCCCTTATAAATTGGACTGTTTCTCCATACATTGGCGTCGTGGCAACTTCCAGGATAGCCGATAAATACATCTAAAAAGCGCAGATTGCTATCGCATATAGCCTATGACAGTAAACAATTTTAATACTATTTTACCATATATGTAAGTATGTATATTTCATCATTCACCTGCATATTTATAGAATAAGTACCCTTGCGGTCATAATAGCTGACTGCATCATTACTTGGTATATTTATTTTGAAGTGTATGCCATCAGCGCATCCCACAACGAAGGGAAAGGAATTTGCCCTTTTTGTTTGGAAGCCTTCCATCACGAATCGCTGCTCAGCAATCGTTGGCCAAGAAATTTCGGTTTTAAGGCAGCATATCGTCCTTACAATTTAAAAAAAAAGTTTGTGGGCTGTTCCTTTCCCTAAATTAAACCGATCAGAAAGATCGCGATATGTTACTCTGCTGTTGGATAGTTTCCATAGCGTCATATACAGCGATGCCTTTAGGGAGTAGTTGCTACTATTCGGTGACCAGAAAGGCTCCAGAGCATCATTCAGTTTCTAAATAAAATGCATACCTTTATTGTCTTGATTTATTTATTAAAAACTTTTAAATTATTCAACTCACAGCAAACGTATCGCGACTCATTCTGAAGTGGGAGAAAAATACGTCGGATTCGTACATTTCAATAGTTTTATAAAAATTTTGCACTTTTGTGACTCGCCTCTTTCTACATATTTTTTGTACCAACAAATTTTTTCTTTTGATGATAATTCTTCTTTTCTTCCGATTCATTAGTAAACAATCGATACTAGCTTCCTCCACTTCATCAATTATTAAATTTATCAACATTTCCATCTCGCAGTGCACAAATTACAACACCTTAATCGCAATCACGTTCTGTGGATTAATAATTTGCAACGTTACAGCAGAGTATCAGCTGAGTATCAGTACTAGGGTTGCAAACAGGCAACAGGGCTGCAATATTGCGGTATTTATTACGTAGCTCGAACGCACCCTATCTGTTCAGCCCCTATGTTTAGGCAACACAGAAAGGATAATTCTACTTAGTGAGGGTTAAAATCCTTTTGCCCCCTCTACCCCCCCCAAAATCATTGTACAAATAACTAAACATTTCCCCAAAAATGTTAGCAAACTAGAGAAACACCATTTTCTTCATCGAGGACTTAAAATAAACTACTTACTCCATTCTAAACGATTCGGGACCATGCTATTATATACTCGAAGAAGCTTTCCTCGACATTGAAGATAATTTTAATGATTTATTCACAACGCAATGGCTGGAATCTACGTGTACTGTGTACACCATTCGTGCTATCTTGTTGGACCACCTTCAGCTTTACTTTTTATACCTTTCATGAGCATGAAATGGTATTATAACTTTGGTCCGATGTTTGTAAGTACCAGAACAAAAAGAGATAGACCCATGAAAATGTATACTTATATGATCAGAACGTCGAGCTGAGTTGATTTAGCCATGTCCGTCTGTCCGTCTGTCGGCTGCGTTCGAGATGTCAATCACAACCGCAGTGTTGAAAATGTTGCCAAAGTATCACGTTCTGTGCGAATTTCTGGCAACACTTGCAACACGCCGAACGTTCGCGCAGCCATTTTGCGCATAAATATTGCGCATCATAAGTATCACAGAATTGAACGCTACAAGTTGTGCGCGATGGCATCGGAAGAAGAAAGGTAAGTGAAATTCATATTTATTTGATTTTATACGCAAGTAACATATTTCATAAGCATGTTTATATTCTTATATGGTTTGTATTTTTGTTTTTATTGCATTTTTCAGCGATAAAATGGGTACTTCGATGACAAAGCTACTCATACGATGACGGCTTGACATGGAACCAGAGTTTGTTTCAGGCAGGAAAAAAAAATCTTATCTCTGGGGTAAAGTTTTGGAAGCAATGAAGGCAGTCAATCCTGAAGTTCCGTTGTCGAAGGAAGTACTTCAGAGAAAATTTCTGAATTTGTTGGCATCGTACAAGCGCATAAAAAAGGAATAGCGAAACAGGCAGAGGCGCAACAACTTGGGAATACTTTGACGATTTTGATAACGTTTATGGGCATGATTCAACAATTACAGGTTGTAGCAATCGTACAAAAGCAACATTTACCGTTGGTATGAACTCCTTGTGTCAAAAACAGCTGATTTGCTTTCCTTATGTATTTATATTCGTGCATTTAAATACAAAAGGCTGTGGTCGCCTTGGACAAAATCAATTAAATTTTGCACTTTTAGTGATTATTTAAATACACATTTAAATACTTTTGGTTATAAATTTTTACTTAACTTTTAACAAGGGTGATAGGTTCATATGCTTTGGGAAACTAAAATTTGAGAGTTGCTGGAGCAGAATTTTTTGAGGTTTTCTGGTCATAGTCGAAATAAAATTCAGGTTTTTGACAAAAATTCTTTCAGCAAAGCCCAATAATGGACTTGCAAGAACTGCAAGTGGAGCCGCGCCAAGCAGTCCTGAAATACACAAAAGTAGATCGGCTGTTTCAGTGAGTACCAGAAATTTATGACACATTGGAGGTGGAGCACACCAATGTCTGGCCGGAGAAGATCCTAAGTACAGAAAATACTGCTCGGAACCGACTTTGTACCAAAGCAATGGCGTTCGATGGCATAGAATAATAAAATGTGTTTGGAACAAATCTGTAAACTTTGCGGAAGATTTAAGTTTCGTATAATCATTTTGTTTACCATGCTTTACCCCGCGCTAAAAAATTGCAATCTTTATTTTTAGCTTTTTAATATTGCAATATCAGGACATGAAGGCAATGAATATGCATCAATGTAGTCTTGGGTGCTTGGGAATACCAACAAATATGCAACGAAAATATCTGGAATCGGAACAGTAGCAATACTTTAGCACATCTGCCTCAGAAATTTAATGATCGACCAACATTTGCAAAAGAGTTACACCATACACTCTGAGCTTTCAAAGAAGGCATTGAATATTCAAAAATGGGGTACGGTTTAGTTATTTGTACAACGATTTTGGGTTGCTAAGCGCAAACGCGTGACCCGAATCAAAAAACTTTTACACACACTTGTAGACAAGAGTCTACGCTTTATTTAGAAACAAATTTACTATATCTGTGCACTATTTTATTAATAATTTCGTATTGAAATATGGTATTCTTTCCAAATTTCCGAGCTGAGCTGTCAAACACACAAAATATTCTCGAAATATCTGTTCAGCCCCTATGTTTAGACAACACAGAAAGGATAATTCTACTTAGTGAGGGTTATAATCCTTTTGCCCCCTCCGCCCCCACCCCAAAATCATTGTACAAATGACAAAACATTTCCCCAAAAATGTTAGCAAACTAAAGAAATACCATTGTCTTCATCGAGGACTTAAAATAAACTACTTACTGCATTCTCAACGATTCGGGACCATGCTATTATATACTCGAAGAAGCTTTCCTCGACGTTGAAGATAATTTTAATGATTCATTCACAACGCAATGGCTGGAATCTACGTGTACTGTGTACACCATTCGTGCTATCTTGTTGGACCACCTTCAGCTTTACTATTTTGTTTATTATTGGTTTCTTGAACAAATTAAGGCATGAATAAATGAGGTGATGTGTCGCATTCTTGGATTTTCGCTATTTCGATTATTTAAAATGTTATACGCATATAAAGATTTCTTAGCCGTTAATCAAACATTGTGCATATTCTTTTCACGTTTTTCAATATCTCAAAATGTTTATGCGAAACATTAACTTAAATTTTCTATAAATTTTAATTTTGCGGCATATCAACTTCATCTATTGAAGTCTCCAAATTATGTATGTATATGATATGTGACTATAACTCTTTTTAACTTTTTAAGGAAATTGTTTTTAATAACAAAATGGAATATTTATATATACATATGTATATATTTGTAATTTAGAAGAAAAACTAAAACTAAATTAAAGAAAAAATCTATTTCGTTCTTTTCAACGATATTGTGCTTGTTTATTATTTTCAACAAAGCAAAAACAAAAAATTCATAAAATTTGTATACAGTAACGAACACAGGTACTTGAATGTAAGTATACAGTCTCTGACAGCTTAAATTAAATACTTCAAAAGATTTGTACTTATAAATTTCCGGTATCCATTTTTTCCCAGATCATTGTTATTTAATCTTAACTTAGAGAACAAAAAAATAAATAAAAATAGATTTCACAGGTACTTCAATGTTTGTAAATATACACTCCAAAAGCTATAGTTTGTAAATTTTCCGAAGATTATTATTTTTCGTTCGAATCGCGAGCTATAACATTTTGCAAAGCTTTTAAAAAGTTCACAAAAATTAATCAAATTAAAAAAATTTTCTTAAAAAGTTAAAACTTTTTATTCAGAATTTTTAAAAAATTTTGGCGTATGCAGTATTGTGGCCCATTGAATTTTAGCATAATATGGTGGAAGTTGCATGCGAGTAGAATCTGGCGTTGAATTTTGAATATTTGTTTTGCTGACTACGTTACGCTTTTTCTTCCATAAAACGATACCTGAGTGGAATCGTTATATGCTAAAATTCAATGGGCCACAATACTGCATACGCCAAAATTTTTTAAAAATTCTGAATAAAAAGTTTNGGAGAAAAAACGTAACGTTGATTCCACTCAGGTATCGTTTTATGGAAGAAAAAGCGTAACGTAGTCAGCAAAACAAATATTCAAAAATCAACGCCAGTTTCTACTCGCATGCAACTTCCACCATATTATGCTAAAATTCAATGGGCCACAATACTGCATACGCCAAAATTTTTTAAAAATTCTGAATAAAAAGTTTTAACTTTTTAAGGAAATTTTTTTAATTTGATTAATTTTTGTGAACTTTTTAAAAGCTTTGCAAAATGTTATAGCTCGCGATTCGAACGAAAAATAATAATCTTCNCGCATGCAACTTCCACCATATTATGCTAAAATTCAATGGGCCGCAATACTGCATACGCCAATTTTTTTTTAAATTCTGAATAAAAAGTTTTAACTTTTTAAGACAATTTTTTAATTTGATTAATTTTTGTGAGCTTTGTGAAAGCTTTGCAAAACGTTATAGCTCGCGAATCGACCATATGGATAAAAATGAGGACCTATATTAAAGTTTTATGTGCAGGAACTTTCTGTAACCCATAAGCTTTTCTTTGGATTTCTTTATCGCCAAACGTCGATTCAGCTGCTTTACGCGGAAGAAAGTTCTGCATTTAAAAAACAGGCGTTTTGCAGCTTCCGGTAAATCAACGTCTGAACNCAATAGGACCTATATTAAAGTTTTATGTGCAGGAAGTTTCTGTAACCCATAAGCTTTTCTTTGGATTTCTTTATCGCCAAACGTCGATTCAGCTGCTTTACGCGGAAGAAAGTTCTGCATTTAAAAAACAGGCGTTTTGCAGCTTCCGGTAAATCAACGTCTGAACTTAGTTCGAACATTTTGCCATTTAAGTTTTTGCAGTGGGCTATTTGGTTTGCATTCGTTTTATGGAAAATTGCTTCCAGACTTTTAATTTTAATTAAAAATTCTGTACTGGGCTTTTTCAAATACCCTTTGGACACTTGGTCATCCCAAGTAAAAGAATTTTCGCAATTTTCCTGGCCCTCCAAGTGAAGTTTGCGGATCATATACCCAGCCACATATTCCAACGCAGGGATGGGCGTAATCAGGAAAATGAATAATTGAATAAAAAAAAAAATAAGAATAAGCTTTCATTCATCATTCCAACAATTTTGAATGACGAATAAATTTTTATTCTTCATTCAATCACTTGCGAATGATGAATAAATTTTTATTCATCATTCAAGTAATTTCAAGTAACGAATCAATTTTTATTCTTCATTCAAGCACTTGCGAATGATGANTTAAAGTTTGAAAATCTTTTATTTTTTCATCAAAAAATAAATAAAAAATATGGAATTATTATTTTATTTGTCAGGAAACATCAGATCTATCGAACATA